AGCGTTCCAAAAGTGTCAACAGTCAACAGTCACAGGGATCGGGGGGGTCGAAACGCAGAACTGTCGTCACTTTTGGACTCGTCTCGTCTCTTCGCGTGTCAAACGTGTCAACAGTCACAGGGATCGGGGGGTCATAGTCGCGAAACGCTGAACTGTCGTCACTTTTGGACTCGTCTCGGGTCGTCGCGTCTCAAAAGTGTCAACAGTCACAGGGATCGTAGGGGTCGTGGCCGCGCAGCGCAGAACTGTCGTCACTTTTGGCCTTGCCTCTGGAGGGAGGACAGGAGAGAGGAGAGAGGAGAAAAGAGAGATGAGAGGAGAGAAGAGAGACGAGAGGAGAGACAGGAAAGGAGAAAGAAGAGAGAAGAGAGAGGAGAGAAGAGAGGAGAGAAGAGATAGGAGAGGAGAGGAGAGAGAAGAGAGGAGGGAAGAGAGGAGAGAGGAGACAGGAGGGAAGAGAGGAGAGGAGAGAGGAGAGAGGAGAGAGGAGAGAGAAGAGAGACAAGAGCAGGGAAGAGAGAGAGGCGAGGAAAGAGGAGAGAGGAGAGAAGAGAAGAGAGAGAGGAGAAAAGAGAGAGGAGGAGAAAGAGGAGAAAGGGATCACCGCAGACCTAAGTCTCCTAAGTGGTTTCGCCCGTGGGGTGTTATTATCATTGCATGTACGTGACACGTGTCTGCATTCGGGTTCGTGGCTCCTATCTCTTTTTTTGTTGATTTTGGGGAGCTGCAATAAGCAAAAACGAACTTTCAGTACATCCCTAGATTGGGCGATGCTCCCAGACGCTTCCTGGTGACCTAAGCAGTGATTGGATGTGGACACGTGCCGGACCATAGCTCAATAGTATGTGGAATGTCCACAATTTGGGGGGCTCTTCCTTGGGAGACCCTATATTATATGGATTTTCATATGTTGAGGTCTATGTCAAGACCCCACTTTTATGGAACTCCCCCATTGAATTTCAGCGCAAAGGGGCTCTATAGATACCTTTGCCCTCGAGGTGTAGTCCCACATCTCCTATGCCGTAGGAATTGAAATGCCTGGGGGGCCCTAAGTGCTCGAGCTGCGCCCATGCAGAATAAGTTGTTCCCTAAGGGCCCAAGTACCCAATAATGATATGGGTGGTTGTCAAAATTATGGTCCCTTTTTGGATACCCGAAATATTATGTGCCGTATTATAATGGGGATCCAAAAAGGGACCATACCTTTGACAACCACCCATAGACTTACTCAAAACCTACATTACACTTGCTCACACCAGAACCCCAAGTACCCAATTACTGAGTACATCGGCCCGTAGGGCTTGTCAGGATTGCAGATAGCTCCATGGTAGCATCATCGTGCTTTTTTTTTGAGGGGGGGGGAGGAGGGGGGCTCCATATGTGGCAAGCACGCATGATGAGCATATAGTCCCCCTGAAGTAGATAAAAAATGGGGTATATGGGGATCTTATTTTAAAAGCCAGCATATATCTACTAAAGGGGGACTATACCATGTGGGAAATAGAAGGCTTTCTGAATCCATCATCCCTGCTTGGGGTCCCTAAGCCCTAAACCCCAAACCTTATTCATTCCTCCTGGCAAACCCTAGACCCTAAAACCCTAAAGCCCTAAAACACTAAAAAACTAGAAACCTAAACCCTACACCGTCAGCACCGAATGGAGGGCTCTTTCAGGCACAATCAATGCCATGGAGGGGATGTGCAGGTCTCAGTTGAGAGAAAGCTTAGGGAAATCCGGAAATAAAGCAACCTAAAACCCCTTGTTGAGGGTTAGGGCCCAGGACTTAGTGTGTAAGGTTTTCATAGCCCCCCTTAAGTAGATAGAACCTAGAGTATCTAGGGTTTAGGGTTTAGGGCGTAAAGTCCCCTTTAAGTAGATAGAACATGGGATATATGGGGATCTTATTCCAATATACCCAAAGCCATATTCGATCTACTTAAGGGGCACTGTGGGGTTTAGGGTTTCCTGCGTAAACAGCTTTCGCGACCTTGTGTGGATCTGCCTGCCTTGAAGAAGGGGCGTCAGTCTG